CTCTCTCTCTCTCTCTCTCTCTCTCTCTCTCTCTCTCTCTCTCTTCCCTGTTTTTAAAAGTAAGTGTATGGGTTTAACGCCCTAGGAACCGTGCAAACTTCACAAAACGAACAAAATTCAAGAACTCCCAGTCTTGAATTCGAACCAGGATCACCATCGTGATACTAACTGAGCTTACGAAGCACCCCAGCCTCTTTCATTTGTATTGAAGGGAACGGGTTCATACATGGGATTTGGGGGGGTGGCGGGAGGGGGGTAGGCGGATGTGCCCTTGAGCAAGCCACGATAACCTTAGCTCAGACTTAGGATTCTACACAACTTCAATCAGCAATGGTGCATCTGTCTAAGTCAGTATGTTGCACAGAACGTATTTATGGACCGAGTTTTTGTACGTATCTTGCATGTTACTCTTTTGTAAATCAAATTTCTCCACAGGAATCAATAACAGTGGAACTCATGTTAACCCTTTCACACCTATTGTCAGCCCACAAAAAAGCAAACAAAAATACTATTACAAAGCGTGAGTATAATAGTACAACAATATTAAGGGCTAACATTTTCCACCATGATTTTTTTAAAGGTTATGATGACACTGAGAATTGCAATGGCTAATGCTAGTTTCAATACAATGAGCCCAATACTGAAAAACCGAAACATGTCAATGACTACCAAAAGGAAAACCCTGAAATGATATATATACGAGACGTCCACCCTTTTATATGGCTGTGGACGCTGGACAAACACTAAAGACAGTGAAAATAAATCAGAAGCAACATAAATGTGTTTTTTTAGGAGACTGCTAAAAATATCCTGGAAGGAAAAGAAATCAAATAAGGTTGAGCAGAATGAAGCCGTGGGACTCTCACTGTTAAAAACAATCAGGAAACGAAAAATGCTGTTTTTGGGATACCTGATTAGACATAAATGTCTTGAACATCTAGCTCTCAAGGGCAAAACTGAAAGCAAACGAGGCAGGGTTAGGCCCAGAGCAACCAACTAAGGGAACCTAAACAAGTAAATGGGTAACGGGGAAAGATCAGGGGAGAGTAGCTTTTTTAAGAGCATCCGAGCAAAGGAATGAATGGAGAACCATGATCGCCGATGTCTGTCGCAGATCTGGTACTGAATGATGATGATAATACTGAGACAATGATATTCTCCGTGAACGAGGTACTCACCATACACGTGCACGCTGACAACAGGGCGGACTTGTGTTTGACTCTAGATAACGTTAGAAACCTCCCGGGTCGTGCTTATTTCCTGTGTGGTAATAACCACGGCGCTTTCTGTCTGTGTCTGTGAAGGACAGGGGTGGGGCAGGTGGTCAGAACTAGCATGATGATGATGATGAAGAGGAGGAGGAGGAGGAAGAGGAGGAGGAGGAGGAGGAGAAGGAGGAAGAAGAGGATGATAGTGATGAGGAGGAACAGGAGGAGGAAGAGGATGATGATGATGATGATGATGATGATGATGATGATGATGATGATGATGATGA